TGCGATAGACCGACGCGTCGTCCAGCTGAGGCTGAGTGGTGGGGAACTGCTGGTCCAGTCGCTCCGCCTCGCACACGAGCTCCTCCACCTGCCCCTTCTGCCGTGTGTGTGTCAATGACAGTGAATGAATGCGACATGCCAATGCGACATGGATACTGAATGCACATATATATCCTTACTGCCTCCTCACACAGAACCTTGCGGCATCTGGCTACGCAACCTGAACTCTCATTCAATCAATGCATGATATATGTCGAGAATGAGAGACAAACCCTACAAACCCTGAAGCGCCTTCTAGTTTTCTTTGCAACTCGCCGGCGACGCTCTGTCCAGGTAACTCGCTCCTTCAGAGTCTGATGGCGTCGCCCACAATCAAAAATCGCCTACTGACCAGGTACACATGCGTGCAGCCAGGGAAATTGTCATGATTATTCGCAATTGTATTCTTTGATGCAGACGTGACACGCAGGAACCGTCAGCGACCCTGCATCTGCTGAAGCGGCTGGCCATCGCCATTGCTAGGACCCCCCTCGACCTCCGTTTGCCGCCTCCCAGTGCACAGTGCACATCGCCTTCTCAGCCATCTCGCCGACAAGATGAGGGCCCGCGGGTATCACGTCGACTCATCCCGTCAGCAGTGCACGTCGGACGTATTCATGGCCATGGGGAATCTGATCGACGAGGAGGAGGCCGCCGCTGGTGTGGCAGAGGGGGAGCGCTTTGCCAATTTGCTGGGCACGGCTACAAGAGTGACGTGCTGTGCACTAAGTGCGGGAACGTGAGCATGGACACGGGCGCCCGCAGTGACAGCACTGTCAGGGTGCCTATCAATGAGGCCATGGAGAAGAGAGGGGGCGTATGGGGCCTGATGGACGCCGTCGACAAGACTGTCCGTCTCCCAGAGCTGCTGGACGACTTCTGCTGTTCAGCGTGTGGCGGCACGTCCTCGAGGGTACAAGAGGTAGGTACGCGGGCCATTCAAGGGGGTGATGAAAAGAAGGCTGTATGTTTCCTACATGCAGGCTCTCGTTTTTTGGCGCGAGTGACGTGCTGGCCTTTCATGTCAAGAGGAACATCTATTCAAAGCCCACATCCCCGAGATGCCCGAGAAGCAGGTGACCCTCCTGTTCCTCTACACGTGCTGGACCCACAGGCGACTGCTCGACCCCAACATCTCGCCCATCTTCAGCCCCAACCGCTACTTCACCCCTGGGGGCGACAACGGCCCCCTGCGAGGCCTCCGCGTGTCGATATCGGGGTTCGGATGGCGGCCAGAGGGGGCCAGTATGGACCAGGTCCCCCTCAAGAAGGGCGACCGTGAGTTGGTGCGCATGATGGTGAAGGGCATGGGAGCGAAGCAGGTGGAGCTGAGCAGTGGCGGGGACAAGCCATGTGCCTTGGTGGTGGGCGACGAGCGGCCCAACCCCGCCAAGATGCTGTCGGCCAAGAGGAGGGACATTCTTGTGCTCAAGTATGAGTGGCTAGAGGAGTGCTGGACATATGTAAGCCTGCCTGCCATAGGGGACAACGGCGGGTGGGTCGCAAACACATGGGCTGTGTTGTTGTGTTAATGGTGTGGGCTGGGCTGGCAGGGTCGTTTGGTGGACCACACGCGCCACGAGCAACAGATCACGGCCAACGGGGAGGTGTTCGACCCAATCAAGGCCAGGGTACGCCACGCCAGACACCCGCACACACACACACACTGGGCGGCCTCATACTGTGGATGTGGTGTGTGCAGGCCCAGGTGGATGAGGCCTACCAGCTTCGTCGGTCCACGCTGCTGTCTGGGTGGCAGGCCATCGTGTCGCCCACCCTGGCCGTCGACGTCAAGGACCACCAATCCCTCGTCCCCGACATCCGGGGCTGCGGCGCCACAGTGACGGTCATGTCGCCGTTCGAGCTCCTCCAGTGCCCCCACATATACGACACACTCTGCAAGACATACGCACACCAGCAGCAGCAGCAGCCGGCAGGGCACAAGGGCATTTTGGTGGTGCCGGACGACGAGTGGGCGGTGCTCTGGCGGGACCACCACGACACACAGCGATCCCACCAGCACAGCAACGGCCAATCAGCAGGAGCAGCAGCAGCAGCAGCAGCCGCCCCACTCCTGCCGTACAAGCCGACGGCCGGTGGTGGGAGACAGCAGCAAGAGGTGCCAGCGGTGTCAGAGCTGCATCTCGTGACGACCCTGTGGTTCAACGAGAGCAAGCGCCACGCGGCGTTGGAGCCCTTCCCGCCTCCCATGGCTGACACGGGGCCCATTGAGGAGCTGCCCGACAGCAGCATTGGCGGCGGGCAGCAGCAGGTGCGGCACGGCGATGTGGTCATCCCGGAGGTAGAGCAGGAGAAGGAGGAAAAGAGGCGCAAAATATTGGCCACGAAACGAGAGAAGTAAGCACACGCACACAAACCACACGCACAGCTGGAGGGAGGGAGGGAGGGAGGGAGAGCTGTGTGTGTCGTGTTGTGTTGTGGTGTGGTGTGTATCAGTGCCATGCATCGCCGGAATGTGATGGCATACGCCGAGGAGAATGCCGCGGCATGGATGGAGCAGCAGCAGGCCAGGGCCTCTGCTGATGGTGCAGCAGAGAGACGCAGATAATAGCCACCTCAGTCAGGTTCGGGTGACGCGTGTGGCGGAGAGCGACACGGCACGACCTTTGGCCTATATCTCGTGTTGAGAAATGAGAAATGAGAGAGAGAGAGAGAGAGATTGATGGATGGATGGATGGATGGATGGATGGATGGGCGTGATTGCTGCTTGCCGTCTGCCTTTTTTCCTCGTAAACTGGTGTATGAGTGACTAGGTGCGTGCGTGTCTGCCACTTCCCTCCTGTTTCATTCCTGTGTTGTGAATACACACCTGCCAATCGCACGCGGCGGCGCATTCATTCACTTGTCCGTCATGCGATGAGCCGACACACTCACTGTACGAGTCAGTCAATGATCGACCACACACACACACGTCCACGGGCGTATGGATGGCTCCATCCATTCGTCCCGTCCACCCACCGATGGACGGACGGACGCATACATACAATAGCCAGATGTTATGGACATACAGACGAACGAAAAAATAGACAGACACACAGCAGAACGATTGACTGACGGCACAACGACCGACACGGCACCCCGACACAGACACTCCGGTGGGTGCGTGGGTGAGCCAAAAAAGTGGACCACACACAAAGGCACAAATGGCGCCGCCAACCAATCAACCACAGCCGCCCACTCATTCCGTCATTGACGCAGGGAGGGAGGTGTTATCTATACAACTGACCGGGGGCCCTCGCTGTTCATCGAGCAAAGCCCTTCCCCCTCCCGTCGCCCTGGCCCTTCGCCCGCCGCTGCGCAGCGTGCCTGGCTGCCTGCCTGCCTCTGCCCGTGTGTATGTGTTGTGTTGCGTTCACAGCGCTGTGTGCAGGGCGTCTTGTGGGTCGACGGTGAAGTATGCGGTCTGGTCGATGTTGAGGGGAATGGTCGTGAGGCCGTCCAAAAACAGATACAGGGGAGCCGACAGGGGCCGCACACTCACACGGTGCGCGTGGCCCGACGACTTGCTCACTTGAAACACCCTTAATTAACATAACACACACCCGAACGAAAGCGAATATAGGAGTGAGGCGTGGGCGGCTTGCGTCTGTCTGTCTCTCCCATGCACACATACATATGCACACATACATACCTGTTTTCGATGGGCTCTCTGATGGTCCATCTGAGCAGGGGCACCTCGGGATCGAACACCAAGGTCGAGTTGACGGCCTCAGTCACCTCGTCTACCATATCGCGGCCACCGTTAGACAGGGCTGCTACATAGCCAGAGTCACTGTCACCCGCGACATGTCACATGGCTGTCTGCCTGCCCAGGTAGGTACCTACCTTGTCTGATGGCACTTTGTGCCTCTGGGTTGCTGCTCTGCGAGTCCGCGAAGGCCTCCAAGACGTGCTCTACCACCGACGGCCGCACCTTAGACACGTTGTACGCCCAGGCAGTCGACCCAGTCCCTGTTGGTTGATGGATCGATGGAGGCATGACACACACACCAATCAATGGCTGCGTGCAGTGAGTGCAGTGCATGCATTCCATGCATCCATCGCTCTTCCCTCCCTTCCACCCCACCTCACCCCACCGGTGCAGATGATGATGCCCGAGTGTTTCTGCCGCTCAGGTTCCCTGTCGTCCACTTTGACCTCGCAGTAGACGGTGGGCATGGCCTCGAGTGCGGCCACCATGACGTCGTTGAGCGGCCGGTGGCTCAGCATCATCCACATCATCATCTGACCGTCCTCACTCGACGCCCTCTTCTCAACAGCAGCCGCCGGGTAGCATGTGGATGGGGGTGTTGTTTGGGGGGAAGGGTGGTGGGTCGCGTGGGCGTGTGATGGCGATGTGGCCATTGTGACACTGCGGGGCGAGGTGCTGCCGAGCGGTGAGCCGTCTGACTTGATGGTGATGTGGATGCGCTGCCTGTTGAGTCGCGTGTAGTCTCCTTCGAGGATGCGCTGCACGGCCGACTCTATCGACTCGCCCTCCTTGTTCATCAGCAGCCGGCCCTCAGACCGCTCGGGATCCGTATTCAGCCCAAACAACGGCAGGTGACCTGACAGACGAACCATTGCGCAGCGCACACAACACACACTTCTCTCTCCGTGTGTGTGTGTGTCTGTCTGTGTGCGCGCATCGTTGTCAGTCACCTGTTCCTGATATGGGCGAGATGAGTGAGGCGGCGTCGAGGAAGGTCCCGTCGCCCCCCGCCGATATGACGGCGTCAAACTCTGCCAGCTGCGACATCTCAATCGACCTCGAGAGGCTCTTGTACACCGTCACCTCCACCCCATTCTGGTGCAGCAGCTTCTGGATCAGCTCGCTGCTCCGCCGGTGGATCACGTACGTCTTGTACATGTTGGGGAACTTGACACGCGCCTTCTCGCACTGCGCGTGGTGCTCACGCAGGTACGCCTCGTAGCGAGTCAATTTGTCCACCAACAACACGCGGCAAAGGGGCGCGCGGGGCGGAGGCCACTCGGGCGGCAGCGAGGCGAAGCTGTCCTTTGTCGGCACGCCATTCATGATGTCTTCCGAGTGGCTCAGCACCGCTGAATCGTCCGTGTTGTGCTCCGACGCGCTGGTGGGCGCTTCTCGCTCTTTCAGGTCGGGGGGTGGGTACGCGGGCGAGAGAGCGGTGGGCGACGAGTGATGCATTCCTCGGTCTTGGCACATGTTGGTTGGGCTGCAGCGGTGCTTGTCAATGCTCATGCGACCCCTCAGCTGCCGCCGAGAGACGATGGAGATGCCTCCTGCTGCCCTCGTCAACAGCCGATGAGCCACAACGCATCCCAGCATCGACATTCATCAGCGGCAGCGGTTTCAGGGAGCACCAGCGATTTTGCGAGCTAATCCTACACACAGAGATTCCGTCCACCTTGTGTGAATCAGAAAACAATGAATCTTCAAGAGTTCGCCGCCCGCAAGAGGATCTCAGCCCAGGTTCGCCATTCGAAGATCGTTCCAGATGACGGGGTGCCCTCCCCGACCTCGGCGGCGGACAAGAGGCCCGAGCCGCTGCCAGAAGAGCAGCAGGAGGAGGAGACGGCTGCCGGCCAGCCTGCGGAGGCTGCAGGTGGGGCACTGACGCTGCCGCTGCCAGTTGGGGCTGAGGGAGACGCAGCCAAGGGGAAGGGAGACGAGCCGACAGATGTGACGATAGTGAACGTGACACCGCTGGAGGAAAGCGGCATTGAAACATTCCTTGACGTAAGTATGTATGTATGAGAGGAGAGGAATGATGGATGGGACGGTTGTGATCTGTCTCTCTCCCCGGGCCCATGTTTGTGCTGTTCTCTCTGTCTCTGTGGTGCATGGGCAGGACGTCTTTGTGAGCCACATGAGGCGGCTCGTGCAGGTGCCTGAGACCCCGGAGCCAGAAGACAGATCACCCAGCAGCAAATCTCCATCTAAATCGCCCTCCAAGTCCCCTTCTAAATCCCCCTCGAGGCGGCAGCAGCAGCAGCCCCAGCTCGGCGACATGCAATACAAAGGCGAGCCGGTGGATGTCTACACGCGGGAGTTCACGTGCGACAAATGGGTGGTGCACTCGCTGCTGCTGCTGCTGGCCATGGTGGACTCGCTCTTCCTCTTCCTCGCATGGACGGAGGCCAGCGCGCCGCACAAGAACCTGTACAATAGATGTAGGCACACACACAAGTGTGGTGTGGTGTGTGAGGGGGTCCGGCCGCTCTGTGGACAGGATGGCATGCGTGTTTTTGTCTGTGTGTGTGATTGCTGTCGTCCAGTTGAGATGGCGGCATTGCTGTATCCGCCGGTGGAGTGGCCTCTGTTGGTGCTTGCGGCGCTGTGTGCCATTATACTGCTTGCCGCTATGCTGCTGGGCGAAACCATGCAGACCGCCACTCTGCTCAGGTGAACCCATATGGACAACCGGCCGGCACATACATACACATGGGTGGGATGTGTTTGTGTGCACTTTGCGCTTTGGTTAGGCCCATGTTGGGCCTTCGGTTGGTGCTAGGGGTGCCAGCGGGTGTGTTGGCTCTGTTTGTGGTGGTGCTCGGCGGCCGCACCAAGCCGTATGCCTTCGGCGCCTCCGCCGCCATTCTCGCGTCGCTGCTCGTGTTTGTCTTCGCTGAGACACGCAAACGTGCCAAATTGGGACAGTCCAGGGCTAAAGTGAGTGCGGCAGAGAGAGACAGAGACATTGTTATATCGTTTCTGTGTGTCGATTTGTTGGCATGTGGGACAAATTGTTTATGTAGTTGTGTGTGTGGTGGTGTTTGGACGGGTGTCTTGGCGTTGCTTTGGTGCTGTGGCTGCACATATTCCTCCTCGGCAGCGCACTGCTGGAGTGAGTGAGTGGCTGAGCCACTGAAGGACAGGCAACTCACACTCCATCCGGCCCGATTGTCTCTGTCTGTCTGTCTGTCTGTGTGTGTGTGGTTGATTGAGGGAGGACGATTGTCCCAACACGCGCAACACGTCCTTTCCAGTGTACTTTGCTGAGCTAGACGAATGGCACTGTCTCAAGTGAGGCACAGGAGGGAGCCCTGCCTGCCAAATGCAGACCGGTCCCTTTTTGGATCGATCACAACACATTTGTGTGTGTGTGTGTGTGTGAAGGTGGGGAGACCAGGCCAAGCTGTCCAGGCAACCTCATGGTGCCCACGCAGTAATTAAACAGAGACAGAGACACGCGCACTGCACTGGGTGTGAACATCCCTCCCCGTGTGTCTTGTCTTGTCTTGTCTTGTCTTGTCTTGTAGGTGATGAGTTGCTGCTGGACTGCAACACGACCTTCATCGACGCCATCGGGGCCGACTTCACTGCCTACCGGAGAAAGTGCCCTCCATGCCCGGTCAGTGAGTGCGTGGCTACGCACACAGACAGACAGACAGACAGATGGACGGACAGACAGGTGTCCCTCTCTGTGTGTGTGGAGCAGTGGACGAGATGCTCTCGTGTGTGTGTGTGTGTGTGTCTGTGATTGTGTGTGTAGAAGGATCCGACGTTCAATGACGAGGTTGAGGGATGTTTCACCTACTCGGGCAGGTCGGCCATATGCAAGGCCGCCGTGCACATAGGCGCATTCCCTGACACGGAAGGTGGGCACACACACACAGACACTCGTCCACTGCCACACAGACAGACAGACAGACATCAGTGTATGTATTTCTATCTGTGTGTCTTGCTTGTGCGTGGATGGGATGTCCAGGTGGGTCCTTCATTGTGGCCGGCAGGCGGCCCTTGGCCACGTAAGCGGCAGAGAAATGAAGGGGGACACGGCCATGCAGTCCGTGCAAATGTGTGCATGCCTGTCTGAGTGGGTGTGTGCAGGTACGAGGGCTGCCTGTACAGCGGATTCCACTCGAGTGCCTACACGCCCGACCCCACATCGCCCTCCCTGGCTGACCAGTGGGCATTCACCATCGTCAACACGGACAACACACGCGCACCATACGGTCGGCCAGACACCGCACACGTGGCAACAAAAGGGCAATGTCTGATGTGTGTCTCCCCGTCATGTGTGTGTGTAGATTCTGTGACGTTGGTGGATTGGTCGAAGGGCGGCGGGGGCACCCTGGCTGAGCCATGGAAGGCCTTTACGGCAGATGTCACCATGTCGGTCGCGGGCCGCAAGTAAGGGATGCTCACACACACACAAGCGGCGCACACCACACCCACACACGTGTGTGTGTGTGTGGCTGTGAGTCAGCTTCACTGGGAGCGTGCCGATCGGCCCCGGGCAGAGAAACAACACACCACAGGCACCAGACACCCCGTCGACACACACAACTATGGAGGGAGGGATGAGGCGCGTGTCTCACTCACTGTGTTTGGCTGCCTGTGTGGTGTGGGTGGATGTGTGCGCAGATCGAGTTGAATTACTGTGCAGACGCCAAGGTCCTGGCAGACAGACCCAACGCATGCGAACACAAGTGAGTGATGAAGCTGTCCGTATCCATGGGCAGTCGTGTGTGTAAGAGGCAAGGCAGACAGTTTGACGAATAAGGAGCTAGAGACGTGTTGTCCATCTGTCATGGCTCGGGATGGCCGGACGGACGGACGGACGGACGGAGATCGCAAATCGCATACACAGATACGTCCATTGGGTCTGTGTGGTCTGTATGCATGTTTGGTGCTGGTCTGGTGCCTCCATTGGATATGGACGCCGACCGACTCACTACTCGAGTGTGTGATGCACGGCACATACATACATTGAATGCATGCAGTGCAGCTGCGAATTGAATTCTTGTGGCCGGCCGTATTTCGGTTCACATGGACGTGCCTGCAGTGCAAGCCAAAAAGGGCAATGTCCCCCCATGGCTGTGTAAGGAGGGATGGATAAAGGCACTGGACGACACACTGTACTGTCTGTACCAACCGCAGTGCCCGCGGCCGACACACGTGACAAAGTACATAGCACAGCTCACTCACTGACTCACCCACTCGGTCACCGCATTGGCGTGTACTCGAAATGCTCACGTGACCATGCGAATCTCACACACACACCGGTAGGTACCACAAATCTTCTCAATCACGCAGCCATTCGCCGAAACACAACAAACATGATACAGACCGTCTGTAATCACTCGATCAGGCACATGTGGGTGACGTGACTAACAGGCCCACCCCTCCCTCCCCCCACCCACAGTCGCAATGCGATCGATCCACTCACGCGCTCTGCGCCCCCTCATCCTCCGTCTCCTCAATGTCTCCATAGCCCCCATAGTCGCCATCCTCCTCCCCATCTCCCTCAATGTCGATCGATGAGTGAAACGACGCCGACCCCTCCCTCGACAGCCACCCACTGCCGCTCCGCGCCGCACCCGACCCGGAGCTCCGAATCGACGATATCTGATCGTACTCGCCCAGACCGCTCACAGACCGTAGCTCGCCTATCATCGACGCCCCCGTGAAGCGATCCGGCCATGACTGGCGCACAGTGCCACCTGTTTGGCGCCGCGACGCCTTCCTGCCCCTTCTCCTGCCCCTCGTGCCGCGGCCGCCTCGTCTCTCCCTCCTACTCTGCCTTCTGGCCCGTCGGGTCAGCTCAATGCTGCCGCTTACGGCCATTGGGGGGACGATGGCCGGCTCTGGCTGGGCTGTGGGGCGCTGTCGTGAGAGGCCAAGCAAGGCTGGGAGGGGCGGCACGGAGGGGAGAGACTCGAAGAACGTCTTGCTGGGTAAGGTCTGCTCTTGCGACTGGCGCTGCCCGTTGGTCTCCTCCCGCTGCGGCTGGTATCTATGCTGCGGGGTGGTGGAGCTGTGGTCCGTCGCCTGCCGCTCCGTCGGCCGCCGATAGCATGGCGTGAGGGGCACACCGTGTGTGCGCCAAAGCAGCAGCGCAAGCCACAAGGATGCATGCGTCAACAGCAGCCCAAAGAACGCCAGTAAGCTCCAGCCGACGGCTTCAAACCCCGAGTGGACGCTCGAGTAGTCAAACAGAGCCTCAATGGGGGTGCCCTCAGGCAGCCCCTGACCCCCACTTGCCAACTTGTAGATGGCTGAGAAGACGAAAAACGCAAAAGCGAATGCCGTGACGTAGGCGGCGTGGAACATGCGGAAAGGGATGCGACCGACGGCCGCGTCGAGGAGGATGACAGCCGTCATGAGGGCGTGTAGTAGTTGGGGGACGGGGGAAAGGACGTATGATGCTGGGGGATCTTTGGGACGCAGTGAGTGCCTGTTAGTTGGGTCAGCACAGACAGTAGTTGGGTCAGCACAGACAGACAGACACGCACATGACTGATGCGTATGAGCACACTACACGTGATGTGATCACAAGTGTATGTTTCTGTGGCAGGCAGGCACTGCACTGACCACGACGTGATTGTCGAATAGATGGAAAAGCACAACGATGGCCCGAAAAAGAACCAGGAGACCTGGGCAGTGGGCGGCAGGAACTCCAGAGCGCTGACGGGGCGGCCACACACACACACACACACACACAGAAAGAGAGAGTGAGGGAGGGAGGGAGGGAGAGGAGAAGTGCACGTCTTGTCGATGTGTGCTGTGTGTGGCTGGCTGACGGACCTGACGGATGAGGCAGCTCTCTGTGTGGATCCGCCGGTGGTCTCACTGGCCGTCCCGATAGTGTTTGGCGTCCCGTCCAGCGACACCTCGATCCGCGGTATCCTCAGCAGCTCGTGCGGCTGTCGTGTGCTGGCCTCATACAGGATCTGTTCCCGACAAGCATACCGCCCAGTCAGTGCCATCGATACGCTGTATGCCACCACCAGCACCATCGACCAATCGGTGAAGTAGCACAGGAACGTCCGCAGCTGCTGCCACGCCAGGCCGACGTATAGCAGCCACGCACAGAGCAGAAGGACCGATGCGACAGCCTCGCCGTACCGCACCCGCAGCAGCACGACAGGCGGCATGCATGCCGGCCACACAGAGGTGGCGAATAGCTCGAACCAGGGAGTGCCGGCCTCCGTCAGATACCCCAGGTGCAGCGAGTCCTTGCTCCACTCGTGCCGTAATGCCACGATAACGCTGCACTCGCTGACGGCAAAGCACCTGCAGCACCTGAGCCATCGCCATTGCCGCGAGGAGGACCGGTCTTGGCTGGCTGAGTACTGATAGGAGGGGAGGGGGAGCGGGCTGTCGGCATCGCAGATCTCGAATGACTCGATGCGTGCCGCGGCTGCTGGCAAATGGCCATTAGACCGAGAATCCGCTGGAGGCGCGGGCAGCGGAGGCTCTAGCATTGTCAAAGCAGCCGAGATGAGTCACCACGATGGATCCGCCAACAAGCGCCGATTCTGGATCGGCCCAGTTGAGCCGAGCGCAGCAGGATCTTCGTCAAGGAAGCAGATAGGCTTAGTTCACGTCGTCGAGAACACCGAACAGGCCAGTTTCGTTGAACGAGCTCAGCAGCCAGAGAGAGCGGTTTCACGGAATTTCGTGCGTATCGACGGGCGAGGCCATCCGGCAGACCCGTTGGTCAAGTGAGCGGCGGGCGAGGCCATCCGGCAGACCCGTTGGTCACTCACTCGTGTGGGGCGGGCGAGGCCATTCCGGCAGACCCGCCCTCTCTGTCCTCATTCCCCTGAGGCGGAAGCACGAGACGACTGCGGTGATCAGAAACCACCCAGTCACAGACCATTTCCGTGGTCTGGCCTATGAAAGTGCTCACGGAGTGCGAGTAGTCGAAGAGTGCGGCAGCTGGTGAAGTGGTCCGTTCGCCAGCGACCAGGGGTCCTCCTCACTATAAACGAAGCCGAGGACCTGCACCGCCACCCGACACGAGGTGGCATGGCATCGTCTTCCCTCCCTCTCTCAGCTACACCGCACCAACACGGTACGTATGCACACCGGTGGCGACAGATGCACGATGCACGAGGAAACCAAACATGCCGAGACATGTATGTGGTTGTGTTTGTGCCCTGTGTGTCGAATGGTCGTGCAGACTGCGCCCAAGTCGACAGCCGCCCGCGGCATTGGCGGCTCAGCTGGCGTCCATCCGTCCATGGGCAAGGGAGAGGGAGAGACAGAAGGGAATGTCTGTGTGTCGCTGAGCCGCTCCCCTGGTGAGACTCGCGACCCCTCCGACCGACCAACAGCCGACCAACACACCATCAAAACACTCTGGTGCCACTGGGCACCACCCCGTGACGTCTGCCATGCCATCCATCAGTCCACTCCATGTGTGCCCTTCTTGTTTATCGTGTGCATATGAAGTAAGAGTGTGTGTGTGTGTGTGGGGGGGGGGGGGGGGGGGGGGGGGGGGGGGTGAGGTCTCCCCTGAGGCGTCTATTTTGCAGTCGACCAGTTAGGGACATCCATCCACTGCAACAGGCCGCTGCACAGAGTAGAGAGCCGGGGCCACTTTGCCTGCCTCTGCCAGGGACGCATACCAGTTCTTCCTCAGCGAGACTCTGCCGAAACGAATCGTCATGAGGACCATCAACGCCGCCCTCCGCCCCGTCCGCGCAATCTCTGCTTCCCTCACGAGGCAGATACCGATCCAAGACAACAAGAAGGCCAGTCTTCTCAGCTGACGGCGTATCTACTTGATCCACCGGCTCCTATTACTGTGGGTGCCGACAAGCTGCGCCAGCATGTCAACGGGGCTGTCAACCATTATGTCAGGACGGCTGCGAGGGAGATTGACAGCAAGGGGAACTCGTACGCGACAGGCCTCTTCGCGCTGCATGGCGTCCGGCTGTCTTTGTGTGAAGTGATTGGTATTGCTGTGCGTAATGAGCTGCACGAGTACTGGCTGACACAGACGGCTGCCGACGGTGTGTGTGTCAACTGGTGTGATGTCGAGTACCTGACCTCGACTGAGTGAGATGGATTCGGACTGACTGACTGACGTGTGTTGTGTCTACATGAGTGAGTGAGTGAGCGATGTGAGAGGTTTTTGCTGCTGCCTGTCATTCATTTCGTGCACGACACGATGTGTGGATAGAGATAATAGAGGCGTGTGTACGACGAATATGCATCGCTTTGTTCGCTTTGTTTGTGCTTGTGTAATCGATTTTGTTTGATGAGATGATTGATGTGTGTGCATGCCCACGATTGATTGAAGGCCAATCGATCGCTTCAATCAAGCTAAGCTACGTTGCCATGTCCGTCGACACCGCCCACTTGAATGCATTCGTGTCTGTCGCTTCTCACGAATTGGATCACTCACTCACTATATGGGAGAGCCACCCAGCGAGCCATGCAGCTCACTCATAACACACACGACAAGCAACGAATCTTGATACACCTTTGCCGCGCCTGAGAGAGCACGTGGCGGCCGACAAGCAGAGAGGGAGAGAAAAATACCCACCAACCATCGACACCCACACCCACACAGATCGCACTGATGACTGTACACACATCATGATTGACCCCCCGGGTCTGACCTGACTGCTCTCGCCCAGAAGAAAAAAGTAAACAGCCCATCCCGGGTCTCATCCATCAGCCCACCTGTCACTGATCCTCCAGCCAAGCCAAGCCATCGTGGCGTACAGGCTCTGGTAACAACAAAGCTCGCGCGCGACGACGCACTCGTCGAAAAATCAAGCAACAGATGGCTGGACAGACCCCCATAAAGTAATTCACCCATAGAGAAACACTTTTCCGAATGTGAACACCAGCGGAGCGGCCACCGCGACAAACAGCGCCCCCCGCAACCTCACCCACCACGTATCCGCTGCCTCCCGCGCCTCTGCCCGGTCCCACACGTCCTTCTTCTTCTCGAACCGCTCGTGCGCCGACTCACTCGCCGTTTGGTGCCGCCGACGGAACCACCCCGACGCCACGCCCAGCTGCGGGCCCTCTGCCTCCTCCTTGGCCTGCTTCATCTGCGCGAATTGGCGCTCCACCTCGGCACGCCACGCGTCCATCTGTGCGTCGCGCTCCCTTTCAGCTTCCTCGAGCTCCTCCCGGCTCATCCGCTTCCTCATGGCCTCCGCGTTGGCCTCGCTCGTCCGGAAGATCGGACGCGACCGCCCGCTGCGGCTGCTGCTGCTAGGCGATGCGGTGGCGGATGACGCTGCTGACCCGTCGGCTGAGTCACCACCACCATCGTCGGTCGAGTCAGTGTCCGCGTAGTGGCTGGCCTCTCGTCTGGCCCACTCCTCGTGCCGTTTCCTCCAGTTGAAGTGGCCCATGGTCTCGGTCTTGTTCCACACATTGTCTCTATCGGACGGCCCCCACGGGCGTGCACCGGGTGGCGGCCGTGACCGGTTGGGCCACACATCGCCGTCCCAGTGGCTGGAGCTGTCGTACTGACGCCGCGACGAATCGTTGGACAGAACCGAATACGCTTCCTGGATCTTCTTGAACTTCACACACATCCATACCATACATCCAACGCCACACAACACACTCCACACACACGTGCGAAACCTTAGTGCTCACTTCACTCTGTGGATCTGACCTTCTCGAGAGCTTCGGGGAGGCCGGGATTGAGGTCAGGATGATACCTGGCGCGACAGACAGGCACACAGATGACCACCAATGAACAACTAGCAGCTGTGTTGCTTACTTCTTGGCCAGTTCGCGGAAGGCGGCTTTGATTTCTTCAGGTGAAGCGTTTTGACGGACTCCCAGGCGGATGTAGAGGTTCAGTCGCGGCAGACTCCGACGAAGGAAGCCACATGAGGCGCTCATTCCACGGGGATCGGCAGAAATGGGGACATAGGAACGTCAGCAACACAGAGCTGGGGAGGGAAGGGGAGCGGAAGCCGCTGCCTCCGGCAGCTGCGGGCTTAGCTCGCAGATTGCAGCTCGCACGCGAAGGGAAAGCGCGTCTGAGTCGTGTCTGTCATTCTCTCGGCATTGCGTAGCATCGGGGCCCGACTGGTGTTGTCCATCTGCCATCCACGCTCAAGGCGTTCCCGCTTCGTCTGCCGTCTCTTTTCAAGGCGCATGCAGCCCATCCATCCATTCGCCCTGAGCACCCTATCCGACTTGCCGTGTCCATCTCCCTGATCTTCGTCCGTCCGTCTCATCATCATCATGGCTGCCTCGACCAATGTCCAGGCAGGCGGGCCTGCAGCCGCCGCCATGGCCGAGGTGGCTGTCCACCCGGAGGTGGACTACCTGCTGCACGAGATGATAGACAAGGTGTGGGCGAAGCACTTCCCCGACCGGATGGCGTATCGGTGGTGCGACGACCACGCCGAGGTGGTTCGGTGGCTGACCTATGGGCAGCTGGCGCGTGAGGTGAGGCGGATGGGGTGGTACCTACACAACTGGGTCAAGCTCAAGAAGGGCGACATCGCAGTCCTCTGGTTCATGCCATCCCTGGTGAGGTGTGTGAGAAATATATTGACTGAATCAAGGGAGAAAAAACGAACATTATGCTTAGACCTGGCTGGGCTGCATTGCATCCGTTGCTTGTGCATGTGTGTGTGCTGGCCTGGCAGGATTTCATAGTGGTGTTTTTGGCGTGTCTGATGTACGGCATCGTGCCCTTCTGCCAGCGGCTGTGCGACCCGCAGGACCGGCCGGACACCCCTCGGCGAGAGTCCAACCACTACTTCTTCGAGATGCTAGGCATGGTCAAACCTGCAGCCGTCCTGACCGACCCCTGCCTGTTCAAGCTGATGGACGGCCCCAGCCGGACCGACAAGCTCAAGGGCTGCACTGTGCGGTTCGTCGACACGAGCAAATTCCCGCTAGACATCGCCAGTACTCTCATCGACGACACCACCAAGCTGCCGGCGGAGGTCAGGGGGGAGGACAGGGCGTGCATCCTCCACACCGAGTACGACACACGGCTCGCCATCCTGACCCACGCTCAGCTGCGTGACATGCTGTGCGCCTACGCCACGGCCGTTCCCATCTCTGACGAGGCCGAGAGGGACCTCTACGCCACCAAGTTCACACAAGACAAGGAGCGCTACATCGCAAAGGGCGACCTTGAGGCCCTCTGGCGGGTGAAAGAGATGGAGAAAAACCTCATGCTAAACGAGGTGCCGTCAATCGACAAACAGGACTTGACGGCGTTCTACTGGCGGCGCAACCAGGAGTCAGAGATCCTCCTCTCCCACCCATGCCGGGCCTTCTCGTGGCTGCCTCTCTCGCACGGCGCGGGTCTGATATACTTCGCCCTCACGACGGCGTATCTGGGGATGGAGACCCTGCTGACCTCCCCCCTGTCCTTCTGGAACAAGCCCGTGTCGTTCCTGTCGCGGGTGGCGGGTGAGATGCGGTGTTCGGTGATGGCCATGTCGACCATGGCCATGACGCAGATGATGCGCAAGGCGCGGGAGGGGCCCGTGGCGGCACACCTGGAGTTCCTCAAGCAGGGCGGAATGGTCTGCGGCGACGCGGGGGTCGACCCCGTCATCGCACGGAAATTCCTACATGTAAGACAGAGAGAGCGCATATGCGCATCTACACATCCACACAAGTACACGCATCCTCTCTGTCCGTCTGTCTGTCTGTCTGTCTGCCAAAGCGTGTGCCTGGCCTGCCCCCGTCCTGCCTGCTGCCCATCTACGAGTTGCTCGACACAGGCGCCATGCTCACCGGCAGGCACCAGCGGCAATCGCATTCTACACGCACACAAGACAAGGCCGATGGAGGAGAGAGAGAAGGCGATGCTGTTGATGCTGATGGTGATGGTGATGGTTTGGACAGCCCCCGCACAGACATCGACATGGGGGGGCCGCGTGTGCTGACCATCGACATGAGAGAGCTGGCCAAGACAGGAACCGTCAAAGTGGTGAGAGAGGCAGCAGACAGACAAGGAGCGCACCCTTCTTTCGTGCATGCCCCTGTGTGCTGTGCTGTGCTGTGTTGTGTTGTGTTGTCTTGTGCGTGCAGCTGAGTGAGGTGCGTTTCGGTGAGATGCCCGTGCCTGAGGCCGGCCGCATGAGTGCCTTCGACAAGGAGGGCATGCCATTCGTCAGCCACGGGGCGCCGGCGGACGATGTCGACCTGCGCATCGTCAACCCCTTCACGAGGGAAGTGTGCCCGGCGGGTGTCTGTGGGGAGATCTACTTCAAGGGGAGCGTGGTATGCAACTACTTCCACCCAATTGACATGCAGCGATATGTGCAGACACGCATCAAAGTCGACGATGACAAAGGACAAAAGGCAGGTATGTCGGTGGGAGGGAGAGAGGGAGAGAGGGAGAGAGGGAGGGAGGGAGGGAGGGAGGGAGGGACACACACCACACAGATGAATGAGATAGATGGCTGTTCCATCCATCCACCCATTTCTGTAGAAGTGGCATATTATCGCACGCACGATGTGGGGTTCATGCACGACGGCGAGCTGTTTCTGCTCGGCTCGCGGGACGAGCTCTTCTTCTCCAACAACAACCATATCGCACCACGACAGGCAGGCATATATTGGACACGCACACACATGACATGCACACAAAGAAACAAAGAAAGACCTGTGTGCGTGTCTGTGTGCGTTCAGGCGGTCATCCGGGCGGTGCAGGACAGCTTCACAAGCGGCGCGCGGGCGCCGCTGCTGCCACAAATCATAAGCCTCTGGCCATTCTCGCGTGAGCAGAAGACACAACACAGCCAAGCTAAGAGGGGCGCCTGTACGCCATAAGACTCCTCTCCTTCGGTGCGTGTGGGTGGTTGTGTTGACGCGATCGATGCCTCCATGAATGCAGTGGGTCAGGACCTGCGGTGCGGCGGGTCTCACAACAACCACGTGGTCATGATTGCCGTTGTCAACGCACCTCAGATGTTCGTGGTAGGTATGCTTCCCTTAAGGCCCACACACACTCTGCCCACTGTCACTGCCCTGCAGCATGACAACGTGCGTCACCTGTACGCGAGTGCGACCTACTGGCGTGAGTGCGTGTTGCGCGACACGGGTGTGGATGTGGGGGCGGTGGTGATGGTGCAGTTCCAACAAGTCGCCAACTACATGGTCTCCAGACACAACAAGGTCGGTAGGCACACTCAAGGAGGGAGAGGGAGGGAGGGAGGGGGCTTACAACGTCTCTGTGTCTGTGTGTGGGTGGTGTGTGCAGGTTGGCCCCCCGCCCCGTCGCGAGGCGTACACTCAGTTCTGCAGTGACTTTGTGGATCGCATGCTGCAGGGGCCGGAACACGTGCTGCTGCAGGTGCGTGTAGATGGATGGATGGATGGAGGGGTGTACCTGACCCGACACACACGCAGAGAAACAGAGAGACAAAGGGCCTGAGGTGTGTGTGTGTGTGAGTGTATGTGCGCGCGTATACCCATGGATGCATGCGTGTGTGTGTCAGCCTGTCCGGCTGGATGGCTGCCTGCAGCTCTTCCCGTCCGCCCTCTCGCCCAGCTGCAGGAACAAGACCATTCCACGTACGTCACGTCATTTCACCCGCCACCACCTCATCCACACACATCCTCTCTCTGTGGTTGTGTGTGATGGTCGTGCGAATCGAATGCAGCTGAGTTGCACTTGGGTGCAGCCATCCGGTGTGTGGAGATATGGCACGGCTGCATGTTCGACACCGCCGAGGACGACGCGGCGTGTGTCCTCACCTCGGCCGACCTCCACAACCCCGCAATGATGGTCAGCCACAACTGCGCCAGAGAGAAAATGAGGTGCGGGAGGGAGGGGGGGGGGG